TTTTTTTTAAAATTTGGATACTCTGTCATGCTCTGTTTAGGCATTCATTTCTATTAAAACATGCTGTATTATTGTATTAGAAAGAAGATGGAACTCCCCAAAGTAGGGCCTTTTTCGAAGCCTACACTTAGGAGGACCCTATACGAGAAGTGACTCTGAGTGCCAGTTTCAGGAAACTAACATATATCTTTCATATATTTTTTTTAACATGAGGTCGTTGACAACTAAAGCAAACGGTCACACCGCAAAAATGAGGAGAAAATATACAGCAAATTACATAGAGCGTACAAAGAGCTATCATATTAGAGCCGTGATTCGAGAAAAGATAATGCAGTGTGAAGTTTTACTTACCGGTATATTTCATTTCGAATAAAAGAAATAACTTTGGTTCCACACACAAGAATAAAGATAGAATACCGAAATAATTTAGGTTAGCTATGGATTTCCGGGGGCACACCATTTCAGGTGAGGGGTGCCACCGCGACGTACTGTAACACCTTCGATACTCACGGTGGATGGATCGTGGCAAGCCGAGATATTTTATCCTGCTCGACGATAACGTTTCGGGATTCTCATATGGTGATCAGGTAAAGATTATAAGCTATCACCGAGTAAAACAGTAGGTTAAATTACCCGCGAAGAAAACTGTGATAAAGGAGATATCTCTGCAATCAAAATGAGCAGTCCTTGGGGAATTAAATTCGGCACTTTACGCTAAGGCTTCCCTCGACGTACCCATTTATTAAAGTTTCTTCTAACCATATCCGACTGTCCGTGCTACGCATGTCACAAGTTCTTTCTGTTCATGACTTGCGCAGCCGACACCCGTGCCAATACTGAAATGCCAGGAAAGACGCACACCGTCAGTCACTCTTCCTTTTTTTTTTTCTGTTAACGATACCGAAAGATCTTATTTTTGTCCAGATACGCAAAATGCACCCAGTTTCTCAGATAAAACGCTCACCGTTGTACTGACCGTCTGAATTGAGTCTATTGAATGTTCTCTCAGGTTGTTCAGCGTGGCCCGGTGATTCACGAGTCCGCCAACTCCGTCGCATACATTTTCCCATGTCCACACGCATAAAATAACCCCTGGGCTTGTGGGCAATTGTTCTGTGCAAACTGGTGAAGCTGGTAGCGATTCTTAAAATGACTGGCGGCTCCGTCACTTACGTACGTCACGTACAAGTATACCGCAACGTTGTCTTCAACCCACTCTCACTTTTTCTAGAGCAAAGCACGTGTGAGCGGCGTCGTTACACAGGTTCTCACTGATGATAGCAAAGCTGTTTTTAGATTTACTTGTCGTCACTGCACATGTATATATCGTAACTTTTTCTTCCAGGGGTATGTTTGAGCTCTGTCTGGAAGCACGTTAGTCCCGTTTTCAGCAAAGTCGAAATGAAAGACAATGCTCCCGCGTTGCATGCACTGCTCTTCATCGTAAATCGCTTTATCTTTCGTTTGTCGGATACGATTGTGAAATGCTGTAAACGACTTATTTTTCGCGGACTCAATATTTCGCGATTTAGGTCAAAGCTGGAGCTTGGGAATAATTCGCGGGTCATAATTTTTGAGACATGTTGGGATCTCAATATAGATTCCACTGTGTTTACATTTTACCGGAATCGTTCGCGGAACTTATTTTTCGCAAATTGTAGGCGATTCGCGAAATACGCGAAAATTAGGTCCACGCGAAAATTAAGTCCTCAACAGTATCCAACTTTCAACCACCACTTGAACGACTTTTAGGAAAATCTCAAAATCTAATGTTTTTTTTTTTTTTACAAGGTCGCAGATTTTTATGTTGTAAGCACAATCTCTTCATCCTCTGGGACGTGAAGTTCCTCGATTCTGAAAGACTGGCCTTTTGCTCAGTGATCACAGTCTCTTTAACGATACAGACTTGTTAGTGGGTCGCACAGGAATGCTGAGTTCATTTCACCACTGTTGAATGTTGAGCCTGTAACGTTCTTTACAGTGGCAATACAAAGGTAATAATTTGTGCAGCTCACACAAACTCACACTTTCTGGTGTGGAATATGTTTGACCCATCTAGGGTGCAAGGCATAAAATTTCGTTAGCCCAACGCCGGAATCAGGATGCTTGTCTTTGTATACACGAAAGGCCCCTCAGATTGACCGTGTCAGGCAGCGCTTTGGCACAAACGTTTTCTTCCCGTTGAGCATGACAGAGATCACGTCCTTCTGGTTGGTACCTTGTCGCGAACATTGTAGCTCGTCTTTCGTGAAGTACTCTAGGGAAGCCGACACGTTCTCAGAGCTCGCCTTGGACCTCGTCTAAGGATCCGATTCATACCACACGCCATGGTTTTCCTTACTCAGAGCGTAAACACTGTCACATGTTAACTTTTCCTAGGTTAACATGACAACAGCGTTTACGCTCGATGGTATTTAGGAAAGGCTAAAAAATTTGGGGGTTCTGCTGTCTGTCGGTGTGTCTCTTAGAGCCTGATATTATCGCCCATGACGCCAGCGAGTGGGACGGCGACAGGCACGACTGCTCAGTAAAGAGGCATCAGCGGCCATGTTTTGCTGATTGAAGCGACTCCCCTCATTCTTGGCAGCGAGCGGGGAAATGCGAAAAAAGGTTGTTTCGGCCGTTTTGCCAGAACTAGCCACGAGTGTCGTCTGCTACTTCCGTCAACTATTGCGCCATAATCGTGATCTTCGCGAGATGATTGTTGCTAGCCACAGAACACTATCACGCAGAAAGGGAATGCTTGAATAGGTTTTTATACTAGATAGGAGTTAGGGATATGTATATAAGAGAGAGAGAGAAATGGAGATAGAGGGGAAGATAGAGGAGCATACAGTGTCGTAGGAAAATAAAGTAAGCAAAGTCACCAGTGGCCGATGGCTGCAAGATATTTTCTCGGATCACTAGTTTGTAATATGATAACTCTTTGTACACAGTAGTTTCTCCTCACTGTTACTCCGTGAGACTGCAATAGTGGCCTCATTTAAATAAAATATAGATAAAGATTGTGTGTTAGTTTTATGAAACTGGAAATCAGAGTCACTTCTCGTATAGGGCACTGCTAAGTGTAGGCTTTAAAAAAAGACCCTACTTTGGGGAGTTGTGTCTTCTTTCTTGATCAAATAATAAAACATATCTTTAATAGCAATGAATGTCGAGATAGATTATCACAGGGTACTCATATTTAACAAAAAGCGAAGGTGGTGGTTGTTTTTTTATTCCCATCGGAAGTTTTCGTTGTTTTGATTTTTCTCCACGTTTGCCTAAATATATCCCAACTATCGTATCACTCAGATACCTTATATATATTTTTTAAATAATAGCCATATATAAGTAAAACACTATCTGAAAAGTATATGATAATGATTAAATTATTTCGCGGGATAGAGGCCTCAAAATTTTGCCATTTGTCGTTCGAGCAGGAATGTTCGTCAATTTTTAGAACACATAATATAACAGAAATAAATATTATTACAATATATTACTAGCAAGCTCAACCCATAGTTTGTGTCTAAAGTTTTCAAAAAGCATTAGGATTCTTCTAACTTTCGCGTTTTAGTTATTCACTTTCAAACGCGGTCCCCTCCATCAGTGCGCGTTAAGGCAACAGTCCACCTCTTCATGCCTTACGATTTCTCCTGCCCCCTAATATTTTTGTTCTGGTCAAAACTAAGTATAGATTCGTTTATACCAGAAACAAGACAATATCATATAAAACATCAGTACATTTAAAAATGCCGACTAGCCACCCTTTGGTCGATCTTATCTTGAATCACCCAGCTGGTTTTGCCGCAGAAGCCCATGATGGCTTTGGCGAACCTGCACTCTGCCTTGATTATGCTCCTCCTTAACAAATAAATTTATTGTTTTTAATATTAGTATTATAATTATTATCGTTATCATTTCCTTTATTATGTTTTGATTATTAATATTAGTAATAGATCAATTCAAAAAGAAAAAAAAAACATTGCTCTTCGTTCGCTTCATTTCCAAGAGACTTTCGAGATACCTTTCGCCCGAACAAGATATGGACCATATACACACAAATTTCACGTGCCTGAACTATTTAATAATCTGACTTCTGAAATTCTACAAGCGAATTCACTGCGTCAAATGAAAAGAATACTGAGACTTTATCTACTCGAATGGGATGTCGCCTAGCGTGTGCCTATTTGTTAGTATGTGTATAGTATGTGCATAATTAGTCATCCAGTTTTGTACATTCCAAACTTTTTTCAGTTTGTTCTACTGATGTGTGTGTGACAAACTTCACAGTGCTTTGTTCGTGGACGTGTCAATTTTTTTTTCTGTACTTTTTGGGTGGCGTCACACAAGCCATTTGTTGGCTTCGATTGCCCCCGCACTCTTGTATGCTTTAATGAATGTGTCTTGAATACAAGTTTCTTCTTCTTCTTCTTATTATTATTAATATTAACTCTCTCAGCATTCTTTCTGAAGTGAACCTTTGAGTTCCACGCGTCCCCACAATGCTTTAATAATCTTTCTCTATAGCTCGACATTTTGGTAACTTAAACCCGATCCCAAGATCGGCTGAGTGTTATAACCGTTAGTCTGATACACTGCATATTTTTTAACTCACACGGGAGAGAATAGTGAAACGCTGTTCAAAACTTCCACTCGCACGAAAAGGGCTGATCAGTTGAAGGGTTGATATTTGTCAGTACGGTATCCAAATATTTGCTTTTTGCTCTCGCACTTGGTGATATCTCTGTTATGAACTTTTGACTTCCCTTGTTGATTTGAGTGCTTTTCGCACATGTTAATATTTTTAGTCTCACACTGGTGGACTACGTTCTCCTTCTGAACTCGTGTGTTTGTCTGTTTCTATATGTGTGTTTTTTTTCTTGTTTTTTTAAGTGTGCCAGCCTTATGATCGATTAACTATTCCTGGACACTATAATAAACACTGATTGATTGATTGGTTATTATTAATATTTTATTATTATTATTATTCACTTCAGTATTACTTCTCTGGTTAGGTCTTGGAAAAAATGAAATCGTTACATTTAGCTTTGACAACACCCCACTTTGGAAGGTCCATTTGCCGGATTGAAGTCCAGCGGTTCGATAAAAAAGCTAAGAAGGTTGACATGAAAATATATGATACCGATCTCCGCGGTAACTGTACGTAAGTAGAAAAGCAAATATATGCGTTCGCACATAATTGTTTACACTTACTTGAAATTGTTGTCATGAGGTGTCAACTTAAATTCAAAAGACATCCAACAGCCGCGGCGATGCATGCTTTTCGCACAGTTCAACAGAGACTTGTAGAAATGGTTAAAGAGAGATGTGACAATGTAAGCTTGAGATGGGTATGCATGTTCAAAGTAAGTTGCGGGTGCGTAAATTCGGTTATGTACACGAGTGGCAGAAAATCACCATTTCAAGATTTAAACTTGCGTATTAAGAACACCTAGTAATGCAAGTTTCTTCAAATAAAAAGTCACGCTTTCATTCACCGCTAATATATTTGATAAAATCTGGCGGAAAACAAGGTATTTCAGAATATTTCCGAACCTGCGTTACCAGCACAGGTAACATTTTGTCCCCTGTTAGGTTTTAAAATAACACGTTTGAGAATGACGCGGCTAGAAATATAATTAATAAAAGCAAACAGAAAACCAACAAGAAATTTATGTGAATATGCCCTAGCTTTTAATAACAGCTGATATAACTTTTTGAATGACAAACTATTTGAACTTTTTTTCACTTGACTACTGAAATATGGGTAAATTAATTGAAGTTATAGTGAAGCAGCTTAACGGTGTCAGATATCAGCAATGTCTCATGGGACCACGCTCTTGCAAGGATTTGCTGCATGTGGTCTGCTCTGTTGTACGGCATCAACCTTTCATGAGCATTTATCGAAACTCCATGAAGATACACGTTTTGCGTTTAAGCATATAAATTATTTTGCAAAGGTTTTTGCCACCCTGTCGAGATATTGCAGACTTTTAATTGGATTCCGTGAGCTTCGTACATGATTTTTTTTCGAAGAGGCCTTGAATTTAATTTGACAGCCCATCCAACTTTTCTATGGGAAGTCAGTATAATGTCTCCGGGCCTTCAGGGTACAAATGAATAAATTAGTAAAATTAGCAAACATTTTTGGAGAATTGGGTGTCGCTTTGCTTTCACTTTTAAGGGAATAACGTATTTTAGAAATTGACACTCTATACAGCTTGTTAGAACTCAGGTTATGGCGTACCCTACCAATGAATTTTAACGTCACTTAGATTGATTTTTTTAACATTTTTATTACAGTCCGAGGGCTTCCATGGTTACTGTAAATGCTATTGAAGATGCGAGAACCAAGGAAATTTCAACATTAGATATTCCACGATTAATAGGTAATACACGCAATACGAATTGTTGAATCACCTATTATTTTTGATAAAGGTGCAGAAATTGAAGCAGCTGGCAAAGATATTTTTCTAGTTTTCTTCGGTAGTTTCAAGGCTGAAATAAAAAACAAAAATTCAATAGTGCTCGTGTATGCGAAAAGAAAGTTAGTAAAATTGTGCGCTCAAAAAACCTGTATTACTAACATGGACGAAAAATACCTTATCGTGCTCGCTGTTTGTCGCGCAGTTTGACAGGTGGAACTTGTCATGCTGAGTTTAACTCGATCTGGGCATCCTGTTGAAAGATAAACAATGCACGTGCGTATTCTAGTTCCGATTTACAGAAAACACATTACTGAACTGAAGCACATATCACACGACAGTCGCAAACTGCCTGAGACAATCACGCATATGGATGTACTAGGTAATATTATGAGTCACGTTACCTCAGATTAATCTCCAAGGTAAGGTTGAACTAAATTATTCTCCAAGTGAATACTTATGTGTTTCATAGGGTGCCTACAATATTGTAATGTAACTTTCTTAAGGTAGCAAAGAAATCTCGCTTACATTTTTACGGGAGCTTCTGCTGAATATAACGGAGTATGAAATAAGTCAATAAATAACTATATTTTTTAGGACCGGAGAAACCATATGTACTAAAGGAAGATGCCCGACTTCTTTTTACGGATTACGAGGAATGTTTAATTTTAATTTCTCCGTTCAATGCCGGAAAATGTAAGTAATTAATAAAGTTTTTACTTATTTAATTTACGCATCATGTGAATATGACTTGAACTGGTTTCTGTTATAAGACTGCGAGTGTCTCTAGCTGGTTCTAAGTCGTAATAAAAACATAGGCAAAAAAAAAAAAAAAAAACGAGGACAGGAAGATGGGTGACATGCTAGCCAGGATATGCGTGCACACCAGACAGGAATGGCCTGTCCTGTGTGACACCCGTCTTCTTGCACTCGTTTTTTGGACCATTTACCCAATATGGTTTTAGTGTTTCTCTTCAGTGACTTACGAAACGGAAGTATAACAATTACAATAATAAAATATTCGCGTATCACCCTTACCCATGTAATGTTTATGCACTTATAGACCATGTTAATTTGGTGATGCAAATTTAATGACCAGATTCAGAGGCGTTTTTTTCTACTATAGTCACTTATAGTTCAAAAACAAAAAAGTGGCTGATAATAGTTCACGCTTGCTGCCTTGTGATACGTTCCTCGACGTTCTTGTTGGCCAATTGCTCGGTCTCCTTGGCTAACCACTAATAATGAGAATCACGGCACTAAAGAAGGCCTACGTTTCTTATTAGGTCAGTGGCTGTAGAGGTCTGCGAATATTCTAGATTAGAATTGGAATGAAATAGTGGATTTTCCCGAATAATTTGATTTTTGAATTCTTTGTATTTGAGTTCTGGAATAATTCGACACATCAAATATTGCGTGATCTACATTCAAGTTTATTCAAGAGCGCTCTCTGTGCGGTGAGGAATTCCTCGCCGGTGCCGACTAAATATAATTCAAGCCTAAATTGAGAAATGAGTATTGACTGACTAAACGTATCCATAAAAAGCAGATTTTTGTATTCCTGGAAGGAGCAGCCACGGTCAAGGACGTGCACTGCGCTCGAAGAAAACCCACAAACCACGCATGTCGCCATTTTGGTATAAAGTACCATGAATCACCTTTATTTACCTGTTTTAGCTACAAACGAGTCGTTGCATTCATAATTAGGCAATTAATTACCAAAACACGAATAGCAACAATAGCCGAACACGCTTTTTTTTGCTAACCCGTCGCTTCCCGCAGTTTCGAGTCAGGTGATGTGGCTAGGTGACGGAGGAAGTCGCCCAATTTCAAAGAGTTCAATGTTATCTGTCTATCAATCTAGCATGCTGTCCACGTCATTTGAATGGGGGAAAGGATTCTTCAAATGCGCTTAATGCTTGTCGTTAACAAGCGCTAATTATTGCCGTTTCTTTTTTGTCGGGATACCACTCTTCCTTCTCAGCGCTTGCGGTAGATAAAGTATGCATGCTTTTACACAGTCAAAGCTGTTTTTTTTTGTTGTTTTGTTTTGTATTTTGTATTCCAAATGAAAGAGTTTGTATTGGATATTTGACTTTACATTATAATTTTTGGCAAATATTTGGCACTTTTTTAGGTTTCTATTTGATTCGAGCTGAACATTCTCTATTCGCCAAACCACTGTTGTTACGCGTTCGTTGCCGGACCATCCTAATTTATTCCATGCAAACAAACGTTTCTTTCACCAGAAACAAAGTAAAACCTAGCTTTGTTTTGCAAATAAATATAACATTTTAACGCAAAGCATAAAAAAAAAACCGGGTTGAATTAGCTCTTTAGTCATCATCTTACTGATTCGTAGGCGATACTGATGAAACTTACAGACAAAGCCATAGTCAAATCTCGGTTGACATACGGTCGAGTTCAAAGAAGAGTAATGGCGTTTCTGTAGCTAGATTTTCAGTCTATATAGTTCAATTGATACGCCTGGCTCTTTCTGTCCGCAGGACAGTTATTCACACGTTAAGAAAAACCGACATTTTCACTCTGCATTTGCACGATCAGCAATGGCAGTGGTGTTAGAGTGGACATACGCAACCGCGCCTTAATATACTGTTAGAGAGAACAAGATGAAGCTGACGCCGAATGGCGAAGCGTTGCGCGCTCTCAGCCTGGTGGACAACAATCTCCACTCACTCGAACACCGAGGAAATAAATCATCAACCCTTTAAATCATCGCTTTCAACACCCTAGCAAGTTGTAGAGGTCAGCAGTGTTAGTAACCTTTCAACCAATATTTCTATTTTAGAGTGTCGCAGCGGGCGCCCCTCTAACACCATGTCAAAAGACGCGAGCTCTCTCAACGGCCTACCACCTCCCAGTTCGTCTACATCGCCACCGGCCGTCAACAACCGGCAACAGGACCTAACTATTTTCGTTGGCTCACCTGTAACGGCGGTCACGATTGGTTTCAAAAGCTACAACCTTGCGAGTCACCACAACGAGTGGGACGATAACTTCAAGCTGGCAAATGTCGCGTTCTTGTTGAACGACACTACATCAAAATGTTTGACAACCACTAAGACGAAATTAACTCCTGGAACGCCTTCACTGCAGCAGTTTTAGGTACCTTCGAAGAACATTAACGACGCTAACAGCAAGCGAAAAATGAGCTTGCGAGCCAATTTCAAGCCGCCTCTTCTACTGGCGACATTCAGGAGAGATAGAGAGAAATAGCATTTTATTGAGCTCAAAAATAAATCAGGCTGCCACAGTCCAGGCTAACCAACATGTATTCAGGACGTCATTCGGCCTCTGCAGTCGAGTAGATGACCAAATGACAGAAAAAAGACCGTTACCGGCAGTTTTCAAGGGGTAATTCCAACCACTGTTGGTTATTGTCACCCCGAACTAAGCCACGACTGTTCAAGACCTTATCGGTGAGTGCAAGAAGTACGGAGAGCTGAAAAGTGCATGCATCTCAAAGGCACCGTTCGAGCGCCTTTCACAAGTATCGCTTGCATATGTTGCCAGTGTCGACTTGCCAGCATTGATTCGCAACGTCATTCGTGAAGAGCTGCGTTTATCTTTTGATCAGTGCTTTGTAACTTCTGACATGGTCCAACCCCATCCTCAGGCCGAGAGTGTGCACAAAGTTGTCCCGGACGTAATTCGTGCTGCGCTTTGATCCCTTACACCCTCAAATCCAACATATGCTCCTGCATCGTCCCCCCGTGGCTCCTATGCAACATACCTCATGACCCCCAGCACTACTACCCCAGCCCTCGTCTGAATCAAGCCGCTTCAGCATTACGATCCTACGCACGACCTCGGTGAAGTGAAGAAGTGACATTGGGAGAACTGATGACCAGCGACCTATCTCCATTCGCTGTTGCTTACCCGGTCATAAGAAAAACAAAAACAACATGAAGGCGAGGACAAAGTAAAAGATAACCGACAGGACACAACGCTTTGATAGTTGGTATACAGGCATAATATAAACACAAACAACGCGAACACGAGGAAAAAGCAAACGATAACCGACAGGACAATACGTTGCTATTACTCCATGAAATCGCTCGCTACTTCCGCGGTCGCCTGAATGTCAATGAATATCTCCGCTTTCCTCAATCTCACCCATGTTAGTCTGCCAATGACTGACGACAGGAATTCCTTTGGCTACCAGCCTTCAGCCCCCTTTTCGCAGCGTAACAATCACAGGAACCGATCACCGTCCCCTTACGCTCGACGCCAAGGCTCCGTGTCGCTCCTCAAAGCTGCTGCCGCGTCCGATTTGACGTCAAACTCAAACCCGCAGCCTGCGTAGTCACAGGAGGTCAGACTGCACTACCATTCTGCGATATAAATTCTTGTAAAATAACCCAACTTCTGTAAAATTGATGCCCTAAAACTGGAAATCCCTCGTAGGCGCTGGTGCCGCCAGGTCATGCATTTCTGAAATTTTCAGAAGCCGCTTACGTAAAGTATTGATAAATTATATTTAGATAACCCAACTTTTGTTGCTGTTGAAAGCTTTTGACAACTCGAAGCGTGAACAGACTCTGGAGCTGCCTGATCAGGAATTTCTGATAGTTTCTTACGTCGCTTACGTAAACTATTGGCGCCAGCACCTGGACGGTATTTACATAGAGTAGATAGAAAGATGATTCGTCTCCTGGACTACTGAACTCCCTCATTGAACTATGGCTTCAATCGCTGGGTTGTCATTTTCACAGTTTCCTGTACCTGTGTGGGTGACGTAATACTGGGGATGGGACTTCCTGTCATCAGCTGATGCCGTCATTGACTGTAGAGAATGTCAGCTGCATCTCAACCATTCTGATATGAACGAATCAAATAAGTTTGATATTGTTGTCCTTCGCACAACAGCCGATATAGTCATCATTTCATTGAATGCTTTCGCATTATCCCTCGAGCTTGATTTCCACTTCCAACGAGCTTACGAACTTTACTTATGCCGTACTCTACTGTCGCTGTAACGGATGGCCAAGTTTATTTATAAATTACCAACGACATTGCAGAGTCACTTTTACAACCTCGAGGGGCTCGTGTCGTAACCACCCGGATGTACAGTCATGAAAGCCAAGCCATTCCGTGTCACGACACCTCTAACATACACTTACGTCCACTTCCCCAGATCCGATTCTCCGGCATTCCTACAAACCAGATGATTGACAGCAATTTAAGAACGGACCAAAAAAGCAAGCTCTTTGCAGCATTTCATTAGATTAGTAATTTATTTGACTTTGATCGACAAACACTACCGCACACATGAATAGTGCACCACCAGATTGATAACGGAAACACTCATCCTTTAATGAACCGGCCATATCGTATTTCACTGGTGGAGCGGAAAGTGATCCGAAGCAATGTCGGCTGATATGCTGATGAACAATGTTATTGAGCCGTTATCTAGCCATTAATTTTCCCCAGGGATTTTTGTAAACTAAAAATACGGCTTGCGTCGTTCCTGCGTACATTAGCGGCCTTAACAAGGAAACAAAAATGTCGTCTACCTGCTCCCTCGCATCGATGACATGGTGGACGAACTTCAAGTGTCCTCCTTTTCTTTATTTCTAGATGTTCATAGGGGATATTGGCAAATCCCAGTGGCCGACGGTGATACACCAAAAGCTATGTTTTCGCCTGAGACAGCCTCTTCGAGTTTAATGTGGTGCCTTATGGCCTCAGCAGTGCTCCCGCGACCATCGAGCGAATGATGTACAGTGCACTGAGTGGTTTGGCCTGGAACAACTGCCTTTTCTGTCTCAACGAGATCATTGTTTTTTCCTCCAACGTTTCAAGGCCGTCTACATTGGCTCCTTCAGATTCTGTATACTGAACTTGCTCCGATAATTTACAGCTAAACTAAAAAACGCACATTTGAAGCGAGGGAAACTAGAGTGATGGGACAACTAGTCAGCCCAGACAAAATTCGACAAGACCCATGCAAAGTTCAGGACGTGATAATAATGGTATTCATGCAAACGTGCAAGCAAGCTGGACGAAAATGACGATAATAATCATTGGAGAAGAAAAACAAGGTGGACAAACGACAAACACAAATCTTCAAAAACAGCTGGGTGACTGGTGCGCGACCGAAAAATCTGCCTGTTCCTGGTATTGAACTAGGGATCTCTTTATTATCAGTGGAGCGCTCTACCCCCTGAGCTAACCAGTAGTTACACGTCGTTAGAATATACGGGTTTTATCAGGTGCCACCAGCCTAACACGAACAAGGATGAACGGCCTGCATTTTAAGATTATTATAATAATACAGTTCATGAGAAGGTGCAAACGAGCTGGACAAGAATGATGATAACAATCTCTGGAGAAGGAGAACAGGGGGACAAGGGCACGAACACAAATCTCCAAACACAACTAGGTGACGGGTGTGCGACTGGAAAAATCCGAACCAGGTACATCTCCATTTCCAGTGAACCGCTCTACCAATTGAGCTAACCAAGAGTTAGACGTTGGTAGACCGTAGTTGGTGCAAGACTGGTGGCAGCTGATAAAACCCGTTTGCTCTACCGGCGTCTAACTCCTCGAGAGCTCAGTTGGTAGAGCGCTCCACTGGAAATGAAGAAATTCCTGCTTTGATACCAGTGCCAGGCGGATTGTTTTGGTCGCGCACCCGTCACCTAGTTGTGTTCGAAGGCTTGGGTTTGTTCTTTGTCCCCCTTGTTCCCCTTTTCCAAAGAAAATGATCGTCATTCTCGTCCAGCTGGCTTGCACCTTTTAAGGAATTGCAAATATTAACATAAGGTTAGATTGGAGGCCGTTCACCCTGTTTGGTGTTAGACTGGCGGTAAATGATCAAACCCGTTTGTTCTACTTACGTCAAACTCCTGGGCGATCAAATTCATTCAATCGCTGTTTTAAACAATATTGACATCATAGCAGCCCAAGCGTCCGATAAAAAATGTGATGTCGTTGAACGATTCTTGAGAAGGATTCCTGGATCTTCCACGCGGCACACGGAACTACGAGCTCGTCTCGTCACCCTTCGTGATAGTGCCTTCTGCAGACGGAACTAGGAGCCACAAGGATGACCCTAGCTGGAGATCCAAGACGACAGTTAGTAGGTCACTAGTACCTGCTTATGCCGTGACTACAAATCAGAGTAAGAATTATAATAGAGAAACAAACAGACCGTATGGTCACACTTTCGGTCTCCAGTTTCTCTTTCAGAGATTTCATGCAAATGCTTTCGTACCTATCCTTCCCCAGGTAGCACACCGCGTCGGCCGGTATCGGGACTACGCCGGCCGGTCCTGGTAACAGGATGGCGGCGCCCGGCCATTGGCGCCGGTGAGCTACCGGCCCCGGCCGGCGTCGGGGTTTCGTCTTGCTCACTGGCCAGTTCAGCCGAAGAAGTTACAGTGACTGGCCGGCATCGGGTTTTTGCTGTCTTTGCTGGCCAGTCTTTCCATGGAGGTTCCAGTAACTGGCCGGCATTGGTATTTTGCTGTCTTTGATGGCCAGTATTTACATGGAAGTTCAGTAACTGGCCGGCATCGGCACTTTGCTGTCTCTGATGGCCAGTATTTACACGGAAGTTCAGCGACTGGCCGGCATCGGCGCTTTGCTGTTTAGGCTGGCGAGCCCCGCCATGGAAGTTCCGTTTACTAACCGACATCGTTTTATCTTTTTTTTTTTGCCGTTTTTACTATGCAGTCAAGTCGTTCAGATTCTGACGAACTGTGGCAATTTATGAATAGCGAGTGGAAATATTCGCATAGATCAATCCTTCGCAAATAACTGCCGACGCTGGTGTATTTGATCCCAGCATGGCAAGGCTGACGTGTTTTATTGCGAAAACGCGAGAAAAAAACAATGCGGCGAGGAACATTTGCAGTTCAGGATTCGAGAATCTGACCACCGACGCCATGAAGAATAAATTACACAACGCCGAACGATACCTTTTCAGGAAGCTAGTTTAATTTGATGCACTATACTTAAGGTCGGTGGTATACGCACGTATTTGGCTCTGATAAGAAAATTAAAATAAAAACGGTATAGCGGAGAATCCGAATGAAGAGCGACAACCACAATTAACAAACACGTGGCATGATTGAGCACGCGCTTTGAGTTACAAAAACTATAATTTGCATTGCATTGCAGAATCTGGACAAGAAAGAGATGTGTGTATTGCTTATGACGCTACGAGAGGTACAGAACTCTCCTGAGATCGTGTTATTGGTGATTTTAATTGAGTGTGAAAATATGCTATTTCAGTCAAGAATCGGCTGTTTTCTGTGGTAGTTACGATCATCTAACAGAAATATTTCAAATTTTGACATAGCCAGACGATCTGTCCCCCGGTAGCTTATGTTATATACGACATACCGCACCAAAAACAAAAAAAAACAAATATAAAAACATTTTTTTTTTTTTTTTTAACACGATAAAGGCGTTGTGGATGTTTACACTGCCGGGTCGTGAATGTGACCCCTTGACGCTGCGAAACATAAATGTTCTAATACCGAACGATGCCGTCTCTGAAAGCTAGTTTAATTATCCGCACTGTTCTTGGATCTCAGGAATAAAAACATGTCTAGGCCTAATAAAAAAGTAAAACTGCGGAGCGCAACCTCGATAAGTACAATCAGGCGGCAGGCGAGGGAAATATCACTGATGTACCAGAAGAAAATTAAGTACTACTTTCCGTAAGTCAGAAAAATAAGAGATGTGCTTAATACGTACCGCGCTGTGAGCTCAGCTAAATAACTGTCTTAAAATAGCGGTATTTCTGTTTTAACAGTGGGTAAAGTTGACCACCTTCAGACAAACTTCGGCTGCATCACTGTGGCAGTTTGACCACTTACTCATTTTCTCATTTTGCTCTCAATATTCCCATTATTATTACCTTCTTTACTTCGTTGAAAGGACTTGCGCTGTTTGCCTACTACACTGACCCAGAAATTAGCACGGAGGGAGCGAATTATCCCGGCAAAACAAGAGGACCACGGCTTGTGCATTGCATCAATTTAAATTTGGGCTCGCACTTCTTATTTCCACATTTTGCGTGATTTTTACCCTAAAGTAAGGGGCCGGCAACTGCAAAAAACATTAAAAAAATTTTAAAAAGAAATAAAAAACGTAGTAAAAAAAAAATAAAAAACTTCGTTCTTCCGGGAGTCGAACCACCGACCATACGATCACCCGCACCGCGCGTTAACCACCAAGACCAAATCGCCAATTTTTTTTTTTTTTTTTTTTTTGAAACATTTATTTACATTTATTTACACAATATCAACAGTGTTCAATTTTGAACAAATTATGTACAATATATACAGGTGACGATTTTTGTCAATGACGCAAAAACTTTAAAGCAAGCGATAGGCAAATTAACTAAGGTGGTAGGGCACCTGCGTGACCTTTGCAAGGGTGACAACTTGCTACGGTAATATGTTCTCCACGAGTAGTTGCCTGTTATATAATATCTGGCGACTGACTGAGGTTTTTAACTATTTCTTTCCATTCATCGTTCTCTTGGCATGCGAGTATGCTGTGGCCAACTTGAATTGCTATGTGTTTAAAATTTACCCAGGAGGGCTTTGCAGCTCCCGCTTCGGTATCTACTTTTCGCGTCTTCCATAAGCTATAAAGGCCTAGTACAACTAAAACATCTTGGATTGTATCCAGGCTTTCGGCAAAATGTAAGTACCGAAAATTTTTTTCAACCACTTCAAAGTCCTTTTTCAGTGTCCTTTTGAAAACGTCCCAAAAAAAGACAGCGTCTACACATAAAACGAAAGCGTGCGTGAACGTTTCAGTTGTTTGGCAAAGACGGCAGTTGGTGGTTCCATATACTCCAATGCCGCGGGAGTCGAGCCACTCTTTTACTGGTATGGTACGTGAATGAAATCTGTAAAAGAAAGTCTTGCACTTGGGAGGAATTTGCATTTTCATGACTCTTTTTAGAACATCCGTTCTGCAATTTTTTGGAGGTTCATAAGGGTGCAGGCGAAACACTGGGTCCGGAAACAACGAAAGCAGAAGTTTCCTTACCAGTAATCTTTTTGAGCACGATGTTAGAAAGCTTAGGTCAAACCTCGCTCTTAGGAACTCCAACGTGTCTGCTACTTCTTTATAATATCCTCGTAACGATATTTTACTTGTGGTTAGTGAATCATCAGCTGGTGGTACTAAGTATTTTGCCAAAAAGAACTTTTTGCACATCTCCAAGAAAGGATGCTGTTCGTGTCTAAAAAAATTCCATCTGGCAATTAGTTGCCTCACAAAGATGTGACCCAGACCAAGCCCCCCGTCTTGAATTTTCCGAAATAAGTTTGTTCTTCTCATTGGCTCATACGGTGACCTCCAGATGAATGTCGCAAATATCCTGTTGAACCCGTTAACTGTTATTCTGGAACAATGCATAACCTGCAGAAGGTATGTTAGTTTTGACAAAAAGAAAATATTGCAAACGGCAACTCTACCAAAGGTTGACAGATATCTGAGGTTCCACATGCGTGCAGCTGATTTGACATTTTTTCCAACGTTGTCCCACATTGCCTTTGGATTGTCCACTGCGTTCAGCGGTACTCCCAACAGTTGTGGTTTCTCGGTGGAC